AACCCCCCTTTCTTGTCTCTCTTTCTTTTCTCAATTCCCACCTCCCTGCCTCAGCCTGGTTCAACCTGTCAGGCTGGCCCTGACAGTAAACAATGTCCTAAAATTTTCAGTCAGCATCCGTAGCTTATTCCTCACATTGGAATTCTGCTGGGGTCCAACCCAAGCAGGTCCTTGGGTCCCCAAAGGTGTGGACGGAGTTGGCGAAGAAGGAATGACACAGAGACAGTGTTCAGTTGATCAGCATCCTTGCCAGGATCTCTAGCCACAATCTCCAGCCAAGTTCTGTGTCCATGTTCTCTTGCTAGGTTCTCCAGCCACGTTCTCCAGCCAGGTTCGGTCGCCAGGTTCTGTAGCCGGGTTCTTCAGGCAAGTTCTGTAGCCAGGTTCTGTCCAGGATCTTTTGCCATGTTCTCTCGCTAGGTTCTCCAGCCAGGTTCTGTCCAGGTTCTCCAGCCAGGTTTAGAGGGAAACCTTAAATCTAAAGAATCTGGGAAATCATATAGTTGGACCAATAGTCTCACTCCATATTAGGGATTGTAATCGTGTAATTCTACATTCATGATATAGGAGGGAGGACTTTTGTTCAAAGTGTAGAGTTTACAAATTTCCAAGGAATTTGTGCCTTAAAGTGACTTTAAAGATGTACAAACTTGATCGAAATATGTAATTGATTATGAATTTTAAAGTATCACTGAATTCACACTAGATAGGTTGCCATAATGCCTTTGAGGTATTGCCCTAAATCAGAATGTTTATTACATAGTGTCCTCCAAACTTTAAATGTAGTTCGCTAATATTTTGTATGTTTGACCATATCAAAAGAAGTGATGTTTTCATATGTACAGTTTCTTAGTGTTGCCTATTTTATATTGAATTCAATTGGAGTATTTTGAAATGGAAGTAATGTGATTCTACTCTCATATCACTTGATGCTGTTATGTTTTATTCCTTGTGTTTGTGTGTGAAATCATGGGGTTGATTATTTCAGCCTTAAAGATCTGTGAGCTGTTGAATATTATATGGACTTCACTTGTGTACACTTTCCCATGGAATATTGGATACAGTGTAAGGTGCACTATTTTCTTCTTTTAGAGAACTAGATGCCCAGTGCACTTGCACAGGTAGGGCCTTTATGCCTGGCAGATGATCAGGGCCGAGCATTTTCTCCCGCTTCCCCACCTCCCCACCTCCTTCTTCCCTCCCCACCTGCTGCCACGGCCACTGGTCGCCTGCCATGTTCCGTGCTACCCCCTCGTAGTAAGCACACGTCATAGCAAGTGATCTGCTGGTCTCCCGGTGGATCTCCTGAGGGGAGAATTTGCATATTAGCCTTTAATGATATAGGATGACACTATTCAAAGAATCTTTTACAATACTTCTCTAGGGTTGTAAATGATATCATCAAAGTTACTTCGTTTTTGGTGCCAGTGTAATCAACTGAAAACTTTTTGAGGGCATGTGAGCTTGTAACATTTATGGGACTGGAACTATACTCAGGACAGTGCTATGTGTGTAATAGATTTTCCATAATTATGAGGAATATTGCAATAGCAGTGACATTGTTGTACCCAGGATGCTGAATTTGCAAGAACTCTGCATGTCGAGAGAGGACACGTTTCCCAGTCTGTACTGCTAGCTGAACTCAGAAAAATTAATTCTTTTCTTTCCTTTCCTATTTCCTCTTCCTCTCTGGGTTTTCACTTTGTCTTCTAGGCTGCCATTCTTTTTGCAGTGCTGTAATAACAGCATGTAAAGCTCTTCCTGTCCCACATCAGCCTTTCTAGCCCTGGTAACTTCCACTCAGTAGTTTGGAATTGATAATGCAAGGACTGACATCAGAATTTGGCAAATATTTTGCTTTATTTTCATGACGTAGGTAGCCCACCATTTAGGTTGTCATGTTGACACCTATAGTTTTTAATATGAACATGAAGTTTTTGGAACACCAGAAATGGGAATCTTTGTACTTGATAATTGGAATATTTCTTCTCCTGATTTTAATTGCAAATCTTAAGAATTTCTCAGTGTTACCTAATGAAGTTCTTTATTGGGATGGAATTTACCCATGTTAAACAGGTTTTATTCTCACTTGTATATGTATCTGTGTGTGTATCTACACTAATAAAAGACAAAGATGCTAATTTACTGCGCCTTGGCTATGCCCACCAATCAGAAGAGTATGCAAATTAACCCAATGAAGATAGCTGCTAAATTTGCATACTATAAGTGGGGTGGGCAGCGCCCGACGCCGCCCGTGGGATCCGTCACGCAGATTGGGGCTGTGGAAGCAGAGCCGGCGATGGCCCCTGGCAGAAGCCTGATGCCTGGCCAGGGGCAGAGCTGGCAATTACATAGGGTTTGGGATTCCCTGCCCAGGCCTAACACCCAGCCTGAAGCCTTAGGCCTGGGCAGGGGCTGAGCTGGGATCGGTGTGAACTATAGAGGAAACGGCTTTTCTGACCGCTCATTGGCTAAGCTCCCTGTATGCGACTGATAATATTCTTAGTAACTTGGGTAATAACGATTCAAGAATGTGATTTAGGTTATTTCCACCTCACTCCTGGAGAAAAAAACGAAGGTCTGCTGTTGGAGGGGCTAAGAAATATCATGTCCCGCCCTAGCTGGTTTGGCTCAGTAGATAATGCCTCGGCCTGCCTACCACAGGGTCTGGGTTCAATTCTGACCAAGGGCATGTACCTAGGTTGCAGGCTCTTCCCTGGGTGGGGCCCAGGTCAGTGCTCATGCAGGAGGCAACCAATCAAAGTGTTCCTCTCACTTTGATGTTTCTCTCCCTTTCTCTTCCACATTCTCTAAAAATGGAGTCCGTGTTGATGAAAACACCTTGGTGGCTATGATGATTTGCAGTGGCTGCAGCAGCTGGGTGATGGGGCTGGGACCTTCCCCTGATCAGCAGAGTCGCCTCCCACAAAGGAAGGCCAGACTGCAGCTTAGGCCCACTCCCCAGGGGGAGCAAGGAGTGGGCCTAAGCCCTCAGTATGCCATCCCCTGAGGGCTCCCAGTATGTGAGAAGAGGCAGGCTGGGCTGAGGGACACCCCCCCTCCCGAGTGCACGAATTTCGTGCACTGGCCCCTAGTTTATGTGTGTGTGGGTGTATCTAATAATAGACTCACATGGTAATTGACCATACCTCCGCTACACTTCCCATTAGCCAATCAGAATATGCAAATTAACCCAACCAAGATGGCGGCCGGCAGCCATGCAGATGAAGTGAGCAGGAGTCTTTCTTGCTCCAGTGATGGAGGAAACCAAGCTTCCTCCCTGCTGCAGGCAGGCTCTGAGCTCCACTCTAAGCAGCTAAGTTGCAATTATAGAAGCTAAACAAACCCCAGATACCTGTTTTCAGCAG